ACTGAGAAACTGTTGGGTGTCTAGTCCTGAGCCAGGCCCACTAGGGACTCAGAGCAGAAACAGTGTTCTTCCCAAGAGGAGCTGACACATGGGAAGGAACAGGGCCCTTATGTGGACAATGGGACAAACTAGGCCAGCCTATACGTTCCTGGGGAGCAGGCAAATGAGAGACCAGAAGAGGAGTGCGGAGGGGCAGCAAGTGAGGCCACAGGGGGTCACTCAGCTTTACAGTGACCCTCAGAGATGAACCTGTGATGTGGGAGAGGCTCAATCACCAGAGGCTTGAACTATCCAGGGGGGTCTCCAGGGTCCTGGTCTCAACTACACACTCTGCTGTTTGACAATAGTTGTTGCTGTTGGTTCGGACTCATAGTGACCCTGTGCTCACAGAACGAAGCAGTGCCCAGTTCCGTGCCATCCTCACAACTGTTGTTGTGCTTGAGTCCTTCATTGCTTCTGCTGTGCCAGTCCAGCTCTCTGGGGGTCATTTTCTTCTCTTTTTTTTGCTGACCCTACACTTTACCAAGCATGATGTCCTTCTCTGTGGACTGGTCCCTCCTGACAACATGTCCAAAGTATGAGAGATAAAGTCTTGCCATTCTTGCTTCTAAGGAACATTCTGGCTGTACTTCTTCAAATACACATCTGCATTTCAGAATTCAAGTCAGAAGAATTATGTTCATCTATGATCTTTCAATCAATATTCCATGCCAACACCATAACTCAAATGCATCAATTCTTCAATGTTCTTCTTATTCATTGTCCAACTTTCACATGTATACGAAACAATTAGAAATGTCATACCTTGGGTCAAAAATACCTTAGTCTTCAAAGTGACACCTTTGCTCTTGAACACTTTAAAGAGGTCTTGTACTGCAGATTTGCCTATTGCAGTATATCATTTGATTTCCTGACTGTTGCTTCCTTGAGCACTGATTGTGGATCCAAGTAAAATGAAATCCTTGATAACTTCAATCTTTGCTTAGTTTTTCATGATGTTGTTTATTGGCCCAGTTGGGAGGATTTTCAGAGGTACAATCCATTCTGAAAGCTGTGGTCTTTGATTTTCAAAGTCCTCTTCTCTTCCAGCAAGCAAGGTTGTGCCATCTGTATATCACAGGTTGTTAATAAGTCTTCCTCCACTCCTGATGCCACGTTCTTCTCCATATAATCCAGTTCCTCAGGTTATTTGCTCAGCATGCAGATTGAATAAATATGATGAAAGAATACAACCTTGGCACACACTTTTCCTGATTTTGAACAATGCAGTGTTCTTTTGCTCTGGTCTAACGACTGCCTCTTCGTCTATGTACATAACAATTAAGTGTTCTGGAATACCCATCTTCCTAACATTAGTCATATTTTGTTATGATCCACAAGCCAAAAGCCTTTGCATAGTCAATAAAACACAAGTAAACATCTTTTTTATATTCTCTGCTTTCAACCAAGATCCATGTGACGTCAGCAGTGATAGCCCTTGTTCCATGTTCTCTTGTGAATCTGGCTTAAATTTATGACAGCTCCCTTCTATGTATTGCTGCAAATGCTTTTCAATAATCTTCAGCAAAATTTTTCTTGCTGGTGATATTAATGATATTGTTAGATGATATCTGCAGTCTGTTTGGTCACCTCTCTTTCAAATGGGCACAAATACAGATCTCTTCCAATCAGTTGGCCAGGTTACTTCCTTCCAAATTTCTTGGCATAGCTAAGTGAGTGCCTCTAGGGATGCATCAGTTTGTTGAAAGCTTTCAATTTATATTCCGTCAATTCCTGGAGCCTTGCTTTTTGCCAATGCCTTCAGTGCAGTTTGTACATCTTCCTTCTTGATCATATGTTACCTCTTGAGATGGTTGAATATCAACTAGTTCTGTTTGGTACAGTGACTCTGTGTATTCTTTCCATCTTCTTTTGATGCTTCCTGCATCTTTCATTATTTTTTCCCCATAGAATCCTTCAATATTGCAACCCAAGGCTTGATTTCTTTCTTCAGTCCTCTCAGCTTGTGAAATGCTGAGTGTGTTCTTCCCTTTTGGTTTTCTAACTCCAGGTCTTTGCACAATTCATATAATGAAATTATTTTTATATTTATTTATTATATTTGTATATTTATATGTTATAGATACTGGATGTTGTCTTCTCAAGTTTCCCTTTGAAATTTTCTGTTTAGTTCTTTCCCTTCCTCATTTCTACCAGTGTTTAACTTCTCTAAGCTTCATCAGTCTCTCGTTCTGCTGTGCATAAGGTTGCTATGAGTCTGTACTGACTCGATGGCACCTAACAACAACAATCTCAAGAGCAAGTTTTACAGGCTCTTCTGACATCCATTTTGGTCTTTTCTTTCTTTCCTGTCTTTTTAATGACCTTTGGTTTTCTTCCGGTGTGATGTTCTTGATGTCATCCACAATTCTTCTTTACCTTTGGTTTTTGGTGTCTATTGTATCAAATGTGTTGTTTAGATGGTCTCTGAGTTTAGGTGAGGTGTACTCAAGGATGACTTTTATTTTCTTCAGCTTCAGCCTGAACGTGCCTATGATCCATTGATGGTCTGTCTGTCCCACAGTTGGCCCCTGGCTTTGTTTGGCTGATGATACTATGCTTCTCCATTGTTTCATCTCACAGATGTAGTCACTATGACTCCTGTGTATTCCATCAAGCAAGATCTATGTGTCCGGTCACTATTTATGTTGTTGAAAAAAAGATATTTGCAATGAATAAGTCATTGATCTTGCAAAATTCCATCATTGGATCTTCAGCATCCTTTCTATCACCAAGACCACATTTTCAAGTACTGATCTTTCCTCTTTGTTTCCAACCTTTGCATTCCAATCACCAGTAATTAGAAATGCATCTTGATGACATGTTTGATCAATTTCAGACTGAAGATATTGGTAGCATTCTTCCATTTCATCATCATTGGCTTTAGTGGTTGGTACATAAATTAAAATCATAGTGGCATTGATTGGTCTCCTTGTAGGCATATGGATATTATCCTATCACAGACAGTATTTTACTTCAATATAGATCTTGAAATGCTCTTTTGAGGATGAACGCAACAGCATTCCTGTTCAATCTGTCATTCCCAGCTACAAAAATATAGTACCAAACCATTCTTCCCATAGTCCTCTCTACTCAACTGGGTTTGATAATTAATTGTATTGACCACCAGAAATTAGTCATCATACTCAGAGTTATGGCGTTTATGAGGAAAGTTATCAGGTTTCAAGTCAGGATCAGAAAGGCCCAGGGCACAAATCTCTCCATCAAGACCACCTCTCCTCCTCCCTGCCCACAGGCAGGCCTCTCTTTACCTTTGTAATGTTGATAGAGTTCTTTCAGGCTGTTGAGACATGCTCACAGGTCACACCACTCCACCTTAAGCCTTAGCCTGAAGGCACTTGGCTCTAGCTCTGTGAATCAACAAACTTGTCCCTCCCATCCCACCCCAATTAAAAACCTGGAGACACCTCACTCTGCAAGCCAGCTCCTCAGAGTCACTCAGCTTTAGGAGGTCTGTGGCTGTCTCTTGCTCCCACTCTTGGTGTCGCCTCTGTTGTTCCTCTACCATTCCTTCCACATCACCGCTCTCTGTCCTTGGCTTGAGGATGTTCAGTGGGCAGGGATCTTAGAGTCCAAAGGATGCATTCCACTCCTGGCTCTCTTTTGATGATAGTGAGAGGGCTCACTCCTGCTTCTGAGATGGTTCACGCTAGAGTTTCAAGTTTTTACAATTACAGTGAGCTCTGTCATCCAACAGTACCTCCTACTTCCTCTAACCAGACTCATGAGTATAAGAGTTGTTTGATAGGATATTAAACAGTTAAGAGATATTAAATAATTCACAACACCACGCTGGCATAGTAAACCATATGACTGTCCAAATTCAAAAAGGTGAATTCCAGGCCATTTCAATTCACTAATGCCGAGAATATTGATCTTTATGTGTTCCTTCCATTTTTGACGACTTTGGATTTTCCTAGATTCATGTTTGTACATTCCACATCCTGACTATTAATGAATGTTTACAGCTGTTTCTTTTGCGTTTGAGTTGTCCCATCAGAAAATGAAAGTCCCCAAAGCTGTATTCCATCCATGTCATTAAGGCCAACTCTACTTTGAGGAGGAGTCTTAGTGTGGTGCTTAGGATAAGCACTGGAGTGCTAACCACAAGGTCAGCGGTTCAAACCTACCATCTACTCCTTGGAAACTGAGTCAAAATTAACGACAATAACTACTACTTTGAGGAGACGGTGCTTTTCCAGCATGAGTTCCAACCTGAAGGGCTCGTCTTCCGGCACTGGATCAGACAATGCTCTGATTTCCAATGGCTAACCATTCAGAAGTGGTCCCCCATCCTCCCTAGTCTGTCTTAGTCTGGAAGCACCACTGAAACTTGCCCCTGGTGGTAATTAAAATACTGATGGCATAGTTGACAGATGGGTGATTATGACGATAGTTAGTAGAAAATGATAATAAAAAGTATGGTATTGAGAATGTTCATTTACCTGTGCATTTCTCACCTTATCCAGAGGAGACAACCATTGTTGGATTTCGAACACACAGTGCCCCCCACCCCCACCCCAATGACACAGTAGAACTACCCCACAGGCTTTCTAGGGTGTGATCTTTACAGAAGTGGGTCTTAGGTCAGAGCTGTCAGGTGAATTCAAACTCCCAAACCAACACTTAGCCATGTTGACACCAGAGCTCATCCATAAGAGGTAGATTCTGGCTTCATCCCCATTTTACAGATGTGGCAACAGAGGCACCTGGATGTTAAGGTGTCAGCGAACATCTCCCGGGATCAGGGACAGTAGTGGGGTCTTAGAGGACAGGTGAGATGTAGGTGGGTGGTGAAAAGATGAAGCTCGAGGTTGTTTAGACCAATGAAGGTGGGAAGAATGAGTTGTCAGGAGGAGGACAGTTCCTGCCAGGAAGTTCCTTGTGGATGATCAGAGCCTCATCCTTGGAAACCTACCAATACTGCATTGCTCTCTCAGGCTCAGCCGGGAGGATGCTGGGAGCACCATGCACCTGCTGGGCCCGGACATCGGGAGGACTCTTGTGGGCCTCTACATTTCCAGGCTGTGCTACAAGCTGGTGAGGGTTCCTGGTACCTCACTGTCTTCTTCTTCCAACATTGAGGGCTGCAAGGAACAAGAGGGAGATGGAGAGATGGACGAGTTGGATGTCAGGGTACATGGCGACCATGTGTTTCCCAAGCTGGGGTGTGGTATTCACAGGGCACAGAAGAAAAGGAAAATGTCATGTTCCTTGAAGTTACAAAGGGGCCACTCCCACAGGTCTTCTAAGTACCTTTGTAAGACTGACACACTCACATAGACACACGTGCCCCTCACGTACACTTATACACACATGCATTCACATAAACACGTTCATACACATACATACTTGCACATCAATATGTGTACACATCCATGTCCACACACATGCATATCCACATAAACACACACACATGAACATGCACACATGTACACATATACAATTCACACACAGCACACACTCTTACATACACTGAGACGTATCCTCACACTCACTCACACACCCATGTTCCTAACACACAAATTCCCGCAGCTAGCTTCACACACATTCACACAGGTGTATTCACACACCCTTATCCTCCCAAGCAAACCCAAACACACTGCCAATTGGGTTGATTACAACTCACAGCAACTCTGTATAGGGTTTCTGAGATTGTCAATTACTATGGGAGCAGAAAACTGCTTCTTTCTCCAGCAAAGCAACTGGTAGGTTTGAACTATCTACCTTGTGGTTAGCAGTCCAGTGCTTATACTACAGCACCATGTCCACATACACACTCACACACACAGGCTGCAGTTAGTTGGTGTCTTTATGACCTCCAAGGATTGGCCTGGGCTGCAAGGGGCAAAGGTGAGATTCTAGTTGTCATGTGCTTCAGAGAATCGTGAATGTTCTGTCCCACCGACTGTCGGTGTGAGTGCCCTGGGAAGGCATTTTGGAAGGCACTTTGAGATGATGAAGTAGGAGGTTATTTAGACCATTGAGGATGGAAAGAGTGAGTTGTTAGGTGAAGGAAAGCTCAGACCAGTAAGTCCTGTTGTCATGGATGGTCATTTTGTGAAAGGGCATGTTTCATTTGCTCATCTGTGGATCAGAAAGTGGATCACCGGTATGGCTAACGATGCACCCTGAGCTCCTTCAGCTAGAGTTTCCACATCCCAACACAAGCACCACCCTGCTCACCAGACAAAGAGGACGACAGGAGACTTCTTTCTGGCTGCCATTTTTTTGCTGCTTATTTTAAAGAAGTGATTTAGTTTGGGTGGAAAGAGGCACAGGAAAACATACAGTCACTCAGAAATTTCTGTGTGCAACTCAGTGACGTGGGCGACATTCTTCAGGTGGTCCAGCCATTCTCATGCTCCTTTCCGGAACATTCCACCATAAACTCACTGCTCCCTGAGTCCCTTATCTAAGCTTTCCATTGCTGTTGGTCGTTTGGTCACATCTAGATAATTCTTTACAAAAGCACACTACTCAAAGCAAACATCCTGTACTTGTTGAACTATTGTTTGGTTTATAGATGACTTCAGAGGATAGTTTTGGTTTAAGGTTTAAAGATTTCCTCAGAGCAATAATTTTGGGGGGTTGGGGGCTAGGGAGAGTGTCATCTAGTCTCAGTGACTCCAGGAAGTCTAGAGTCCCTGAGAATTTGAAATTCTGTTCTACAGTTTCCACCTTTGGATCAGAATTCTTCTATAGAATCTTTGATCAAAATGTTCAGTTATGGTAGCCAGGCACCATCTAGTTCTTCAAGTCTCATGGTAACGGAGGCAGTAAGCCCACATTCCATAGCCTTCTCTGATTCCAGACTCTCCTGCTTCCTCTGTGGCTCCAGGTGAACCGAGAACAATGATTACAACTTGGATTTTGCCTCTTGTGTCTTCCAGGATGACGAAAGTTCCTGCTCTGATAACAACGTTGAGGGCAGCGTGGAGGAGGCTGAAGGGATGATCAGAGGCTTTGTTCTAAATGTCACTGTCTTTCCTCTGAACTTGAAAACCATCATGGACCGTTTCTTATTATCTGCAGGAAAGATCCTGCTGATGCTCCTCCTAGGCTTAGCAGGTACCCGGGGTCCAGCTGGTGGGGCTAACATTGGACTGACTGGATAGGCACACAGGATGTTGGAGTAGCCTATGGAGTTACACAGATGCACCAGGATCTCTGGAGAGCATTTTGGGAGCAGCTGTTAAGAGAGGGAGACTGGAAGGTCTCTGGAAATCGAGCGCTAAGTGACAAATTCCCTAGCTCAGAATGGCGATAAAGAACATACTAGTGTACAGAGAACATGTTGTTGGCTCAGGGGACCTGGGACAGGTGGAGGGGCCAGGAGCTCCTAGAAGGGGTTGACCTATCCCAAGTAACCACACTCAGATGTCTGCAGGGTCATCCCGGAAGTTGGTGCTTCCCTGCAAGGCCGGGACTGCATTAGAGCACATGGTTGGGAAATGATGGGGGCAGAACTCCCATGTGGGGGTTATCTCCCTAGGGATCGTATCTCCTTCTGTGACCACAGCTGGGACTTCAGGGCCTTCCTGGGCCTGGGCTCCTGGTGGGCGTGCCGGCGAGCACTGGGCACCCTGGCCTTCACTCAAGTGGCTCCTTCATCGCCAACCCCCTGGGGAGCCCCTATCTTCACCAGTCCCCTTTCTTCCAGTCCCTCGTGCCTCCTGACAACATCTCTGCCAGGTAACAGCTAGCTGCCAGCACCCAGGGCATGGGAGGGAAGGCCCTGAGAGGGGTCCACCTCAACTGACAGAAGCCTGCTCTTCAAGGGATCTATGCCAGCATTTCCTGACCCCAAAGCGGCTGCCCTGAGGCCTACAAAGCTGCTTCCTAGTGTTGATTCCCCTTACCCCAAACCAGGGTCAGAATATGCTCTGATAGGAATCTCACTCTACCCACAGGGTCAGAATATGCTCTGATAGGAATCTCACTCTACCCACATCGGAACCGCGTCCACCAGGAGGACAGCGCAACCTCCACTACTGGACACTTGGTCCTTCTTCCCCTCCTTACTGTCGCTCCCCCACTTCCTCCCTCTTTCCCTACTTTCCTTCCTTCAGCAAACTTTTATTGGTGGTGGTGGTAGTGTGCTGTGAAGTCGGTTCCAACTCATAGAGACCCTGTATAGGGTTTCTGAGGTTGTAAATCTTTACAGGAGCAGAAAGCCTTATCTTTCTTCCGTCGACCCACTGGTAGTTTCGAACTCCTGACCTTGAGGTTAGCAGCTGGACTCGTAACCACTAAGCTACCAGAGGTCCTGCAAACCTTGATTGTTGTTGTTAAGTGCCGTCGAGTCGGTTCCAACCCATAGCGACCCTGTATAGGGTTTCCAAGGAGCAGCTGGTGACTTTGAACCACCAACCTTGCAGTTCAAATGGTTTTGCAGTCTGGCACATTAACCCACAGTGCCACACCATGACTTTTATTAAAGGCCTTGAACACCCAGGTGTTAGGGATAAAGGGACAGACAGGAAAGACTTCGGCTGGGCCTGAGTTGGTACTTTTCACTTACTGTTTAGTTTCTAAAGCCCCTCGTAAGGCAAAGTGACCAGCACATGTACCAGGGATTGAGCAGACACCATAGCAAGACAGATAGTCCATGGACCCTGTGCTGTGAAGGGGAGAAGGCCTTCACCTGTGAAGCCCCTGATCTGCACGAGGACAAGTGAGGGGGTCCTGCTGCAAAAAGGCCATCCAAGAGGGGTCTGGTCTACGCAGTGGGGTAGGGACATAGTGGGGAGTTCCCCCACGTGCTTTGACCTATCTCCCTCGCTGCACTCCCCAAGTCTGGCTATCCACCCCTCCCATGAGCATAGGGTGCTCTGGATTGCAGAAGGGACTGCTGGTCAGGGCTGCTGGCCCTGGGCTGCCCACGGTGGCATTGGTGACTCTCCAGCGGGCTTTCTGCATGCAGGCTGCTGGGGAGAATTGCAATCATCAGGACTGATCACACAGAGCCTTGGCATCTCCATCTCCATCCAGGCCTGGGCTGGCCCAAGGTAGCCAACCTGATGGTCCTGCTGTGGACATCCCCTCCCAAGGTCAGTTGTCCCCAGAGAGCCTACAGAGTAAAGCAAGTTGATGGCCAATTCTCACTACAATGTAAATGGCTGATAGTTTCATGCTAGGTCTTCCCTCCTACGCTTTGACACAGGCTGGGGGTGTTTGGTTATCCTGGGAGAAGAGTGGAGGGAGGAGAGGTGATAGCTAATTTAGAATGTTTAAATGGCCGTTCTGTGGCTGAGAGAGGTGACTTGTCTCCACTTAACTCTGGGGAACAGGAGGAAGACTGGTGGGTTTAAGGTCCAAAGAGGTAAATTTCAGCAAACGTGCAACAGAACTTCTTAAAAATCGCAGCCAAGCCCTGGGATACGTACTCAGGTTGACATTTCAAGACACCTGGAGTTTTTACCATCCTCCATCTAGAGCAGCAGTGGAGTCCGAGGAAAATGAGAGGCCTGCGGGTGGACTCCTTGGTAGAAGTTGGCCATCCCCACCCCCCAACTCTGAGGTCCTGCCCTGGCTTAGAACTCCTCTGCTGTTAGGAAGGCAGGTGTGTGGGCTCATCCTGGCCTGGGTGTCCTTGGCTGGATGTCATAGCCCAGCGGACAGGACTTCCTGTGACGATAGAAGAAATGCTTTGTTTGCAGCCTCCAATATGGCAGCCACCAGCCTCACACTTGACCTGAGGCTGTGTGAGTGAGGGTCAGAATGTTTGCTTTCAATTAATGAAAATGAAAACTTCAAAACTAACACTTGATTCCATTATTGGAAAACTTCACAGTTGGTTTGGAACAACTTGGTGTGTGACTTTAAATTTTGTGAAATCTAATACAGATTAGGAGTCCTGGTGTGGCCCTGGACCACAAGGTCAGTTTGAACTTCAAGGTCTGTGGTTCAAACTCACCAGCAGCTCCTTGGAAACCCTATACAGGGTCACTATGACTCAGAACTGACTCAAAGGCATTTAACAACACCATTACAGATTAGGAGTCCTGGTGTGGTGCTGTAGGATAAAGCACCGAACCACAGGTTGTTGTTGTTGTTAAGTGCCGTCGAGTCGGTTCCAACCCATAGCGACCCTATACAGGGTTTCCGAGGGTGTAAATCTTTACAGGAGTAGAAAGCCTCAGCTTTCTCCCGCGGAGCGGCTAGTAGTTTCGAACCTCTGACCTTAAGGTTCGCAGCCCGATTTGTAACCACTACGCTACCAGAACCACAAGGTAGGTAGTTCAAAGTCACCAGCCACTCCTTGGAAACCCTGTATAGGGTGGCTATGAGTCAAGACCAACTCCACAACACTTAACAACAACAGCAACAACAAAAATACAGATTAAGTTTTTCCCATAAAATTTAGCATCCAAGTTGAGATAGGCTGTCAAAGCAAAAAAGATCCCTGGTGATGCAGTGGTTAAGCACTCAGCCACTAATTGAAAGGTTTGTGGTTCAAACCTACCAGCTGATCCTCAGGAGAAAGGGGAAGCAGTCTGTTTCCATAAAAGATTCACAACCTTGGAGACCCTGGGGGCCAGTTCTACTCTGTCCTCTGAGTCACTGAGTCGGAATTGACTTGATGGTAAAGGATTTGGTGTTTTGGTTTGGTGTGGTGCTGTAGGATAAGTATTTGACCGCAAGGTCAGTTTGAACCACAAAGCCATTCCTCGGAAACCAACTCAACAATTAACAACAACAAAAGCAAGATATACGCCCAATTTTGGAAATCCGCTATGGAAACAAATATGTAAGGCGATATTGCAATGATTTTATATGGGTTACATGATGAAATAATGATGTTCTGGGTATCGTAAATAGCCATACGGGGCAGCAGTGACTCTGTTGTAGAATTCGCGCCTTCCATGTGGGAGACCCAGGTTCAATTCCCGGCCAGTGCGCATCACGCACACCCACCACCCATCTGTTTGTGAAGGTGTGCGTGCTGTTGGGATGCTCACCACGTTTAAGCAGAGCTTCCAGGCTAAGACAGACCTGGAAGAACAGCCTAGTGATTTGCTTCCAAAGGCCAACCAATGGAAACTCTATTGATCACAATGGTCCGAACCCTAACCCATCATGGGAATGGCACGGGACCAGCCAGTGTTTCATTCCACTGTGCGTGGGGTTACTGCGATGATGGTGATTCACAATAGCCACCTGTGGCTCGTGGCTCCTCCCCCTCTAGCAGGGAGCAGCCCCTTAGGGGAGGGGTAGTACAGAGCATTCCAGGACAGGATTCCTACTGAGCAGCCCTGGGACTCCAGAGGTAGGCTTCTTGGGGCAGACAGGAACCTCATCTCTCCTGCGTCCTGCAAGCCATCAATGTCTCAGGCCATGGGGCTCAGGAGGGAGCTGAGAATCTGCCATCAGCATTTTCCTCCTGAGACAGGACCAGAGGGCACAGCTACCCCCTGGGTTGCCAAGGAACAGTGAAGCCCTGGGGCTGAGCTCTGTGCTGTGCAGGTCCGGCAGCCAGGAGGATCAGGTAAGAGCCTCAGGTGGGTGCGTTTGTCCATGCAGCTCCCATCACAACTTCAGTAGCAACAGTAAGACGCAGGCTTATCCAGCGCTGACTACTTGTCAGGTACTGTTGCAAGAGCTTGGCATGGTCATCATCTTCATTGTGTAGAAACTAAGGGGATAGCCACCAGGTCAAGTTACACTGGTTGGTAGTAAGTGGTCCAAGTGGGATTCGAACCCAGGCAGTGTGACGGCAGACTGTCTCCTCTTAACACTGACTGTACCCATCGCCTCCTTAGCAATCAATGTGCCCCAAAGTTGAGTGGAAACAAACTCCCCAGGGAATTCCAAGTTCGGTGAGCCAAGATAGCACACGTGGGCAGCCTACCCTGGGGTGCTGGGTCTTCAATCACTGCTGACTTATCGGACAAGGCTGGCCCTGGGGAGCTGAGCCAGGAGCCGGCCTCTGCCGAAGGCTGATGCTCATGTATCATCCACTGTCTCGCTCCAGCAGCATCTGCTGAAATAGCCAAGTGGCAGACAGGGAGCGGGTTCTCAAATGCACCCCGGGGACCGCTGAGAGGATGGTGCTCTGTCTGCAGGGGGTGGGTAGGGCTCCAAGAAGCAAATCACCCGCCCAAGGTCAGCAGCCCAGCTTCCCTGAGTGGCAATGAGGAGCTGGCTATCCTGGAGAAGGCGTCTGAATAATCACCAAGTAGCTCGTTCAGGGTGATTACATCCCGCTCACCTTGTCGGTTGGAGCTGCTCCTTTATCTTGTACCCGCTTCCGCACACACCCTGTGCCAGTGTGCACCAAGCCCCCAGGAGCACCTGGTTTGCAACACAAGGGATCTGTGAGCACTGTGGCTACTCCCCGAGTCTCACCCACCCCCGACTCCCACTCCCACTCAGCGAGGTGTCTTTACTTTGGTGGCTCCCCATCTCTGGGCCATCTGCCCTGGCAGCACCAGATGGACAGCTCTCGCCCTTCTCCTCCCTGTGTGCCCCGTCCAGGGCTAAGGACACAAGACAGACTTAACCAGCTTGCTAAGAGCCTGCTCTGTTTTGAGTTTGGCAGACAGCAGTAAAGACAGGCAGATGGAATTAACACACTGTAGGTGAACTAGACTGATGTCTCCCCCACCCTACCCGCCCAAGACAGGCGGAGGAGCAAACTGCCTTAAACCTGGCCCGTTGTGCTGACCCAGATGGAAAAACTAAACAATAGAATCTGCTGAATTTGTTTAAAAAAAAAAAAAAAGACCCATACCTGTTTGTCCATGACATGAGGCTGTCTCCCAGCATCATGGGTGTTGTTAGGCGCTGGGTGCTGAGTGTGTTCTGGCTGGTGTGTTTGAATGCCAACTTTTTGGGTTAGCAGTTCAGTGCTTATCCTACAGGACCACAACAGGAATTCCAGCATAGAAAAAAAACCTCACTGCCACTGTGCTGATTGTGAGTCATAGCGACCCCTACAGGACGGAGTAGAGTGGTTCCTCATGGTTTCCGAGGCTACAGAATTTTATAGGAGCAGCCCAGCTCATTTCCCAGAGTGGCTAGTGGGTTTAGAGGCTGCCCACAGGGCCACCAGTGTTCAGGGGTTTCCATATCAGCATGACCCTGAGACCCTACCCCTGACTGCAGACAGGAACACCCACTCTTAAGTGAGATCCCATTCAGATTTCATCCTAAGAAGAACCGTATAATAGGGTACTATGATGAGCTAGGAACTGAACCTTCCTATCCAACAGGTTTCGGAGCCTCCCTCCGGCAAAGCCCGGAAGATGATATATGACCACGCTTTATTTACCGGCAGACAGACAGAGTCCCTTGTTCGGGAGCCTGGTAACTCCAGAGGCCGTTCATCACCGGCCTGCCCTTCGTTGAAATTCACCAAGCAGCAGCTTCTCTTTTAACGCATGCACATAATGCATTTTAAAGAGCGTTTTCTGCACAGATCCATTTGCTCGACCTCGGCTCTGAGCACAAGACGGAATGGCGTTTTAGCAAGTGCCTCCTGCACCCTATTTGGAATGCAGATCCTCAGATAGCCCTTGCAACACCAGATACATCCTCAAAGGCCAGTAACTAAACTGTTGTTCCTGATGGCCGGGAGAAGGCCCAGGGCAAGGGAGCAAGGAAGACAGGGCCAGGGGTCTGTCCCCCCAAACTCCTTGCCTGGCAGGATGCTCAGAATTGGTGAGAATCCTTAGTCACCAGGAGGGGTGGGGCGGGCCACGAGGGAGAGTCAGGACCTCATTTTGAGAGAGGAGTCCTTTTTGTTGGCTTTAGGCTTGCAAGATGGTGCTGTAAGCTTCCATTAGGCATCTCTGGGCCTCGATGGGGAGGAGACCTAGCTGCTAACAGAAATACTGGTGCTTTGAACTAACCCAGGATCTGCACAGGAGAAAAGACCTAGCGATCTGCCCTGAAAGATGGCTGTTGGTTTTGCTGCAGTTATTGTGAAGTGCCTTCAAGTCAGTTCCAACTCATCGAGACCCTGTAGAGGGTTTCCGAGGAGCGGCTGGTGAACTTGAACTGCAGACCTTGTGGTTCCCACGACTTTACAGTCCAGCGCATTAATCCACAGCACCACTTAGGTGCCATCAAGTTGGTTCCAACTCATCGCAATGCTCTGTATAGCAGAACAAAACCTTGCCCAGTCGTGCATCACCCTCACGATTATGTCTGAACCCACTGTTGGTGCCACTGTGTCAATTCATCTTGTTGAGGGTCTCCCTCTTTTTTGTTGACCCTCTATTTTATCCAGAATGATGTCTTTCTTCAGGGACTAGTCCCTCTTGAGAAAGTATCCAAAACACATGAGTCTAAGGCTCCCTTCTAAGGAAGATACATTTATTCCTCTGACATTCTTTGCCAACATCATAATTCAGATGCACTGATTCTTTTTATTCATTGTCTCTTTACACATTGTCCAGCTTTCACGTGCATATGAGGCAATTTAAAACGCCACGGACGTGGACCAGGTGCACCTCAGTCTTCAAAGTGACATCTTTGCTTTTTAACACTCTAACGACATCTTTTGCAGCACATTTGTCCAATGCAATGGGCCGTTTGATTTCCGGACTCCTATTTCCACAGGTGTAGATTGTGGATCCGAGTAAAGTGAAATTCCTGATAGCTTCAGTCTTTTGTCTGTTTATTGTGATGTTGCTTACTGACCCACCTGTGAGGATTTTTGCTTTCTTACGTGGAGGTAAGGAGTCCTGGTGTGGCTCTGTGGGCTAATACTCTGGACTGTAAAGTTGGTTTGAACTGCACGGTTGGCAGTTCGAGCTCACCAGCCGCTCCTCAGAAATCCTAAACAGGGTCGCTATGGGTCAGAACCAACTTGATGGCACTTAACAACAACAATGTAGAGGTAAAGATTGCAGCCTGGAAAATTCTAAGAAGCACAGTTCTGTTCTGTCGTGTGGGGCTACTGCATGTTGGAATCAGCTTGGTGTTAATGCGTTTAGTTGTCTTTTTGTTTGGTGGCTTTGTGGGGTGCAGAGGGGGATCTCAGTGCAGGATGCTGCATGGATGAAAACTGGTTTCTCCAGCAAGACTTCTTGGCAGGAGAAGCACTTGAGATTGTTTTAAAGGCTGAGTTGGGAAGTGCTGGGAAGTTTATTACTGGTGAGGGGACTATCCCAGGCAAAACCAGTATGTTTTCCTGCAAAGTAAGTAGCTCTCAGCTTGAAAGGAGCATGGGTTAGAAGGGACATGGACTTGTGTCTCCTAAGGGTCACCGAGTTTCCACCCACCACAAGTCAAAGTTAGGACTGAGCCCCAGTTCTGGATTTCTTTCCCCGTTTCCTGCTTTTGTAAATGCTGTCTCTACCCAGGTAAAGTTTGTAAGCAAGTTCCTTCTGTCATTCACTACCCACAACTAAGCCAGCACCAGGCTGTGTTTACATCATCCAAAATGTTTCTGGAATCACCCACTTCCTTTCACTTCAGCTGTGGTATGGCTAAGAGGGACAGGGGTTACATGTATCCATTGCTGTGTATATATTACAGTTTCCTAAGGGGACAGACACATGACACTCTGAAGTGCCACTGTGAAGATACCGTGAGCTCTGAGAGCCACTAGGGGGAGGGCTTGTGGGGTGTGCAAGGACTAATGGGATAAAGACATCCTGGGCCTGTTCTTCTAGAAGTACAGTGAGGAACAGGGGAGGCAGGAGACCAGTATGGAGGCAGCCAGAGCAGCCTAGAGACCTGTCATTGCCATTTCTAGGAAAGTAGGAGAGGAGAGGCAACGAGAAAAGACTTCAGGTCCCCAAAAGGGTTTTTCAAGTCACAGATCTGATGGAAACCAGAAGTCATGTCCCTTAAAAGTTCTTGTAGCTTTTGTTCAATTGTAACCAGGAGAGCTGGCCAAAGAGAACCCTCCTGCTGAGGTCCACTTCGATGGGCAGGAGGTCCCGGGTCTCATTGTATGCATCCAAGAATGCCATCGAGCCTCCAGTCCCCTTCTCGAGCTAGTGGACCTCCTTCCTTTGCCAGGTCACCTTCCCACAAAGGATCTGGTAGGACCTGCCCCTTCTGCACTGCGGAGAGCGCCAAGAACAGAGATCGGGCCTGGACTCCCCCGCTTTCTTTGTACTGGAGAAGAGGGAGGCTCCCTCAGATAAGAGACCCCCATGGAGACCTGCCAAACTGTCCCCTTCCTGGATTAAAAGCCCTTAACCTCCAAGACACTAGTAACAGTGGGAGGGAATGGTCACGTGTCTTCAGAAGGTACCTGTGCTCTCCTTCTTGGTTCAGGGGTCCTAAGGTGCACCCCTCAGCCCCCGGGCAGTTGTCAAGGCCAAAGGAGTCAGAGGGCTTAGTTAGATATGTGAGGGTAAGTCCAAAAGCATTGTTACCAAACCCGCCACAGCCTTATTGAACAAAGCATCAAGATGTGAATCTGTTGTTCCTCAACATATCCTCCAGCTACGTCTGTACCCTTCTGAAGGCAGGGTTTCCATCCCCCTAACCCTTCCCCCCAAAATTCTGCACTCTTGGATTTACACCATGCCAAAATGATAGTTTTGACATCCTAGACGGATTCAAAGCATGATCCTTTAAGTTTGCGGAACAAGCAGAAGTCTGAAAGGTAGATGGGGTAAAGTTTCCTAAGGAAATTCTTGTAGCTCAGTCCTTTTCTCCCTTGATGAATGAGCAGGGCCATCGTTGTGCTGAAAACAAAAAATCCTCAGCACACTTTTCTTCATCCTTTTCTCACCAATGAAGTTTTCAGTTTCCTTAAAACTTTGTCCTGTATTCTTGGCAAAAATCTATCAAGATGACTCCTTTGAAACCCCTTCAAAACATAACTTTCTGAACTGACCTCTCAGCCCTGAATGTAACTGGTCCAACAGTTGCTATCCAAGCCACTGTTTTGACTGGACCTTTGTTTTTTGAAGGTTCCCTAATGAGACTAAGGCAAGTGTCGTATTGTAACCACCCACTGATGGCAGAGACCTATTTAAACGTGTGTGGAATAAACCCATGCACACATGGACTGAGACTCTAACAGTAATACTTTTTCACTGACCTCTAGGTGTTGAAGAACACCCAGGTGACGCTAAAAGAAGTCAGGTTCCATGCCCTGCTCTCTTGGGGACTGTTCCTTAGCTTAGAGTGAAGGTCATGTTTCCGTCCAGTATGGTCATTTTTTGAGGGGTGGGGGTTGTGATCATGGTGAAAGCAGTTACTTCTTAAATGTACAAGCCAGAGACTACACTGAAGCCTTTCTGCACCTCACTCCGTACCCGCAGAATGAAACGAACCTCATAAGTTGATCCTTGCCCACCCTCACTTCAGGGATGAGGAACTAGAGACCCACATCAGCTAAACAACTTGCCAAAAGAAATCACACCTGATAACTGTTCAACATGCTGAGACCAGGGCTCACATGACCTACTACTCCCATCCGGGTGGCTGTTGTTGTTAAGTGCCGTTGAGTCGGTTCCGACCCACAGCAACCCCGTATAGGCTTTCCAAGGAGCAGCTGGTGAGCTTGAACCACCGACCTTGCGATTCAAACACCTTTGCAGTCTGACGCGTTAGCCCACAGCGCCACACCAGATGCCTTTGAACTTCTGCAATTGCCCATTGTGGCGTCTCTGGTGAGGATTTGCTCCTGCTTCAGTCTGTCCGTGTTCTTGTTTGTAGGACACACTACCCCACCATGGAGCCAGGGGACACAGACTCGAGGCCAAGCTACATCACAGTGTTGGGCTACCCTGCTCTGAGGCACAGCTATGTCACAGCACTGGTTGCCATGATTGGTGACCTTTGGAAGAAGGTGCCCATCTTCATCGTCCACCTGGGTAGATGGTGGGGGAGTGTACCCCTTGGAGGCAGAGCTTGGCGAATGCTTCCTACCTCAAGAAGGAAGCCCTTTGTATAAATTAATGGGTGAATGGTGCATAAGGGTCTTATAAGGGGGCAACAATGGAGAAAAGATTGAAGTTGTCAAGGATTTCATTCTTCTTAGATCAACTATCAACACTCATGGAAGCAGCAGTCAAGAAATCAAATGACGTATTGCACTAGGCAAATATGTTGCACAAGACCTTTTTAAAGTGTTGAAGAGCAAAGATGTCAGCTTGAGGACTAAGGTGCCCCTGACTCAAGTCATAATATTTTCAATAACCTCATATGCATGTGAAAGCTGGACAGTGAATAAGGAAGACTGTAGAAGAATTGATGCTCTTGAGTTATGGTGTTGGAGGAGAATATTGAAAGTGCCATGGGCTGCCAAAAGAACCAATAGATCTGTTTTGGAAGAAGTGCAGCCAGAGTGCTCCTTGGAGGCCAGGATGGCCAAACTTTGTCTCTCATACTTTGGACATATTGTCAAGAGGGAGCAGTCGCTGGAAAGGACGTCATGTTTGATAAGGTGGAGGGTCAGAGAAAAAGAGGAAGACCCCCAATGAGATGGATTGTCCAAGTGGCAGCATCGATGGACTCAAGCATGGAAACAGTAGTGAGGTTGGCCCAGGATCAGGCAGTGTTTCATTCTGTTGTGCATAAGGTCGCTATGAGTCAGTACTGACTCAATGGCACTTAACAACAACAACAACAAAGGAGTACAAAGGAGCCCCGGTGCCACAATTGTTAAGTTCTTGGCTGCTAACAGAAAGGTCAGCAGTTTGGACCTAGCAGCCACTCCAAGGGAGAGAAGCTGTGGTCCTCCGCCCCTGTAAAGACCAGAACCTAGGGAACCTTCTGGACACTTCTACTCTGTCTCTCAAGGTTGCTATGATTCAGAATTGACTCAGCTGATGGTACCCAACAACAAGAAGACGAGGGACGAGGATGTTTGGGGCATTAGGTCTGGGTGCCAGGAGCTGACTGCAGGGGAGCTGGGGGCCCTTCCTGGGTGCCTACCTTTGGCTGGACGTGGAACTCATCTTCTAGGGGAGGAGAGGGCGCTTAGGGTGGGAAGAGGGCTCATTCAAGCTTTTCTTTCTGAGGCTGGGCAATGTAGAAAGTTCCTATTTATGAGCATTTGCACCCCTTGCGCCAATTTCCAACTTCTTCCCCTCAAAAGGGATACTCAGCTGCTTTGATGGGTGCCTTGGGGACCAGCCTAACTGGATCTCACCTGATCCTGTGAATCTTGGGGTGCCACCAGGCCTGGTGTTTAAAGTGAAAGCCTGTCTCAGTTCCAGCATGCTGACTGATATCTCAGAGGTACCCAAGGCCAAAAAAGCCCACAAATTCACCAGCTTTTTCATCTACCATCTAAAAAGGGGCCTATTTGGAATGAGAGTTGGGCTGGAGACCCAGTCTCCCACTTACACTGAGAACATGTTTCTGTTGTTGTTGTTTTTATTGAGGTGAAAGTGTACACAAGAAAGCACCTGACGATTCAGTCTCTACAAGTACAATTCACCTCTCCCTTCTCCCTCACTTTCCCCAAATCATTCCACCACAACCCACATAAATGCACTGACCCCTAAACTAGAGTTCCCTCATCCCCGCTCCTGGTAATCACTAATAATCTTGAGCTTGTAAGTATTTGCTCATTTCATATACGTGAGTTCCCACTGTATTTTTCCTCTTCGGATGACTTATTTAATGCAGCAGGATGCTTTTAAGGTTCATGCACGCTGTGACATGCATCGGGACTTCATTTCTCTCTACTGCTGAGTAGTACTCCAGTGTGGGTGTGGACTGCATTGTGTTCAGCCATCCACCTCTTGGTGGACATTGAGGTTTCCGCATCTTAGCTGCTATGAGAAGTGCTGCAATGGGGTGTTCCTGCCTTCACTTCTGGGTATGTGGTAGTCCTGTGCTTAGTTGTCTGTAGTGGCTGTACCATTTTGCATCCTCATCAGCAACAGATGAGGGTTTGTTGTCTAACAGCCTCACTAGCATCTGTTGTTTTCTGCTTCTTTTGGATTACTGCATTCTAATGCGGGCCAGGTGGTATTTCATTATAGTTTTGATTGACATCTCCCTAATGGATAATGGGTCAGAACCAACTTGATAGCACTTAACAGCAACAACAAAGTGAATCATGGGAGGAGCTCTGGTAGCAGCTTCATGGTTATGAGTCGGGCTGCTAGCCTCAAGGTCAGCAGTTGGAAACTACCAGTTGTTCCTTGGGAGAAAGATGTGACTTTCTGCAATTAAAAAAAGAAAAGAAAAGATTTATAGCCTCAGAAACCCTATGCAGGGTTGCTATGAGTCAGAACTGACTCCACAGCACACCACCACCCATACCACAATGGATAATGAACGTCTCAATGTGTCACTGTAGGATAAGCACTGGACTGTAGGGTTGGTTTGAAACACAAAGTCGGTGGTTTAAGCTCACCAGCATATACAGGGTTACTGTGAGTCGGAACTGAGTCGATGGTACTTATAACAACAACAATGGATAATGAAAGGAGCCCTGGTCGTATAGTGGGTTATGAATTGAGCTTCGAACTTCAAGATGAGGAGTTTGAATCTATCAGTCACTTGGCAGGAAAAAGATGAGGATTTCTGCTCCTATAAAGGTTTACAGCCCCGAAAACCCTATACACGGTCATAGGAGTTAGAACCGACTCAACGGCACACAACCACCATCACCAATGGATTGTGAAAGGAGACCTGGTGGCACTGTGGCTTAAGCATCAGGCTGCTAACCACAAGGTCAATAGTTCGAAACTTATGCAGGAGAAAGATGAGGCTTTCTGGTCCGTAAAGGTTTACAGTCATGGAAACCCTATATAGGGCCCCTATGAGTTGCCATCATTGACTGGATGGCATTGGGTTTGGTTCTGGTAATGGAGAAGGGAGCATCACTGGTGGCACAGCTGTTAAAGCACTTGGCGGCTAACCCAAAGGTCAATAGTTCGAACCCACCAACCAACCTGTGGGACTCTGTTTCTGTAAAGATTTATACCCTTGGAACCCTATAGGATAGTGCTGCTCTGTTTTACGGGTCACTATGAGTCAGAATCTCTGGTAGCGTAGTGGCTACGAATCGGGCTGCGAACCGCAAGGTCAGCAGTTCAAAACTACCAGCTGTTCCATGGGAGAAAAATGAAGATTTCTGCTCCCATAAAGATTTACAGCCTCGGAAACCCTGTACAGGGTCGCTATGAGTCGGAACTGACTCCACGACACATAACAACAACAACATGAGTCAGAACCACCACTTGTCTGTCAGTTTGTCATACTGTGGTGGCTTGTAAGTTGCTGTGATTCTGGAAGCTATGCCACTGGTATTTTAAATGCCACCAGGGTCACCCATGGTGGACAGGTTTCAGATGAGCTTCCAGACAAAGACAGACAAGGAAGAAGGAGTGATGAACTACTTCTAAATATTTAGTCACTGAAAACCTTATGAATAGCAGAGAAACACTGTCAGATACAGGACCGGAAAATGAGCCCCTCAGGTTGGAAGGCACTCAAAATGTGACTGGGGAAGAGCTGCCTCCTCAACGTAGAGTTGACCGTGATGATGAGAATGGAGTTAAAGCCCGTGGGAGAAACACCCGTGGGACCTTCATTTGATGATGGGGCACAATTCAAAATGAAGAGAAACAGCTGTAAACATCTGTTAATAATCGGAACATGGAATGTACGAAGTATGAATCGAGGAAAACTGGAAATTGTCAAAATGAAATGGAACGCGTAAACATCGGTATCTTAGACATTAGTGAGCTGAAATGGACTGGTATTGTCCATTTTGAATCTGACAACCATATGGTTTACTATGTTAGGAATGACAAATTGAAGAGGAATGGTGTTGCATTCACTGTCAAAAAGAACATATTCAGATCAGTCATGCGGTACAACGCTGTCTGTGATAGGATAATATCCATGCGCCTACAGGGAAGCCCAGTTAATACCACTATTATTCAAATTTATGCACTAACCACTAAAGCCAGTGAGGATGAAATAGAAGAATTCTACTAACTTCTTCAATCTGAAATTGATCAAACATGCAATCAAGATGTATTGATCATTACTGGTGATTGGAATGTAAAGGTTGGGAGCAAAGAGGAAGGATCAGTAGTTGGAAAATACGGCCTTGGTGATAGAAATGATGCTGGAGAATGCATGATAGAATTCTGCAAAATCAATGTTTTGTTCACTTCAAATACCTTCTTTAGACAGCATAAGAGATGACTATAGACATGGGTCTCACCAGGTGGAATACATAGAAATCAAATTAACTATATCTGTGGAACGAGACGATGGAAAAGCTCCATATCATCAGTGAAAAACAAGGCCAGGGGCATACTATGGAATAGACCATCAATTGTTGTTGTTGTTGTTGTTATGTGCCGTGGAGTCGGTTCTGACTCATAGTGACCCTGTACAGGGTTTCCGAGGCTGTAAATCTTTAAGAGAGCAGAAAGCTTCATCTTTCTCCTGCAGAACAGCTGGTAGTTTCGAACTGTTGACTCTAAGGTTCGCAGCTGGATTCGTAACCACTACGCCAATTACTCATATGTAAATTCAAACTGAAGCTGAATGAAAATGAAAACAAGTCCACAAGAGCCAAAATACGACCTTGAATATATCCCACCTGAATTTAGGGATCATCTGAAGAACAGAGTTGATACATTAAACACTAAAGACTGAAGACCAGATGAGTTGTGGGATGACATCAAGAACATCATACATGAAGAAAGCAAAAAGTCATTGAGAAGACAAGAAAGAAGGAAAAGGTCAAAATGGATGTCAGAAAAGACACTAAAACTTGCTCTCCAGCATAGAGATGCTAAAGCAAATAGAAGAAATGAGGAGGTCCAAGAGCTGAACAGAAAATTTCAAAGATCAGCTCGAGAAGAGAAAGCCAAATATTACAACAAAATGTGCAAAGATCTGGAATCAGAA